ATGTAACTTTGCTTTGATAAAAAAAAAAAGTATTGATATAACCCTTTTAGAAGCGAAGATATATTCATTTGTTCTGGGCATGTCACAAAACGTCACAAATACGTTACTATTTGGTAAAAAATAATCAAATAAATAAATTCTGGTTTCTTTGCCCAACTCTTCTCTCTACTGGCCTTCGTCCTCAGCCACTCCTCCATGGAAGCAAACAAGAGACAGAAGTATTTGAATTTTATCAGACACCGAATTTATAGCATTGAAAATAATTATTTTGAAAATCATGTTTTTGAATTGTTTTGCTCCGAATTTACATGTGTGAAATAAAAATGTAACAATTCAAGTTAAAACAATTTGAATAGTGAAATTCAGATCCCAACAATTCAAGTGAAAACAATTTGAATGCACAATTTCAGTGTATAAAATTTGACGTCAAAAATGTCGGTGTTTAAAATTCGATGTCCAAAATTGCGATGCAACATCATCCGGGCTACTCAGACAGGATAAGCAATCGAGCCCGAATGCAATCGAACCGACTTCTGGCCTATCAGAGCACGGCTTTGTCAGTCATGTGATTACAACAACCCGGGAGAAAAATGACGGAGAACAGCGGGGCTCCGGTAAGTAGTCAGTTTGTGCTCTTTATTTTACAAGCAGTGAGGGCTCGACAGCATTTGTATCTTACATTAGCTAGCTAAATGAGTGAAGTAGCCATGTGCCTTGCTGTTAGAAAGCTCCGTAGTTATCATTAATTGAAGTGAATCAGAACGTTACCGTGTCCTTTTGTGTGAGTGTGTGTGTGTGTGTGGGGGGGGACGGTTTGCAAAGTTAACGTTACGATCACTTCGGTTAAATAAGTCAAGTAGACCATGCTACACTATATATAGCTGTTACCACCTGCAGAGGCCTAGCCTCTCAATTAACAGATTAACATTTAGTGTAACTTGTGTATATTATTTCGTTTTTATTTAAAAAAAATTGTGATGGTTCATGCTTGATAACTTTTAGTTCACATTTCAATAAATTGTATTTGCACTCCTTTTGTCCGTTATTCCTACTGAAAATGTTGAATTACACATTCACATCTGACTGAAGATTGGCACAATTTATTTGTGAGGTTGCAAACTCTGCGGTACAAGGCATAAGTGATGTGAAGCTCATAAAGTGAGGCAAATGCATTTGATCAGCTGACTTTTTTTTTTTGCCAAACTTTATAGGCAATAATCACACTGTCTCTGAGGTGCAACGTAAAACACAAAACAACACAAAAATCAAGATCCTGTTAGACTACAAAACTAGTCAGTGTGCAGGTCTTTGTGTTACAATAGTGTCTCTTAGTTAATGTCCTGTACTGCTCTTAAATCTCATCTCATCAGCTTTTCCTTTCCCTCTTGGATGTTCTTCCGGACCCTCGGAGAAAGAGAAAATGGTGAAGCAGTCCTGTCTCTCAGGCCTGTCCTTTCCTAACGGAAATATCAAAAAACATGTTATTGCAGAGCAAGTGTGTTATTTAAGAAAGAGGTGTGTTTGTTTGTTTTACATGCAAACAACTTTTTATCTACTTTTAAAAACAGGTCA